TAGCACGTCCCGTCCCAAGAATCCCTTGGGTGGGGAGGGGCAGCAAGTAGGGGGCCTGGACACTTGAGTCCCCAGCCCCAGGGTTCAGGCCCTAGACCCCACGGAGACAGACCCCCTCTGGCCCAAAGTGGAAAGTGGAAATGCAGCCCTCCAAATGGGAGTCCATGTGGGGCCTACCATTGAGCCACCACTGCCCCAAGGGAGCCAGGACAGCAAGGAAGAAGGGATCAGTTGAGGCTGACCCCCCCACCCCACCCTTTAGCCCAGGCCACGCTGGCACCTCCCTGGGCACCTCTCTGATACTGCTGCCAGTCCTTGCTCCAACTCCGGAAGGAGGGCTCACCACTCCCACCATGCAGATGAGGAAACTAAGGCTCAGAGATACTTTAACAGGCAGGCTCTCTGTTGCCTAAGCATGGCGAGTGTGTTGTAAAGCAGTGCCAACCACCTTGTCCAGAAGAGCTGCCAGAGCAGCAAGGCAGCCAAGGCCCAGAGGGGGATGAGGGGGTTCCCACTCAGATGGTCAGAGGAGGCTCCCTGAGGAGGTGGCATTTGAATTATGCCCTGAGTGAGGAATGAGAAGGTGGAAGCTGTGTAAAGAGCTGGGGAAGACAATTCCAAGCTGAGGGAGCAAGTGCAAAGGTCCTGAGGCAGGAGAGAACTTGCTGGTTGTAAGACCCCCCAGACACTGAAGCAGCTACTGTTAGGAAGAGAGGAAGAGCTGGTGCAGACAGCAAGGCCTCTGCCAGCCGCCCAAGTGCTCAGGCTGTGCTGAGTGATTTGGATGTTACTCTAAGAGCAATGGGAAGCCATGGCAGGGTTTAATCAGGCGAGAGATGTGAACTATGTTTTTAAAGGATCCCTGTGGCTGCTATGTGGAACCTGGATTGGGGGTTATTAGGGCAGGGGCAGAGGTACCCTGAAGGAGGCCATTGCTCTGTCTGGGTGAGAGAGATGGTGATGGCTTGGGGGGTGGTGACCGAAGTGGAGAAGTAAGTAGGTTTGGGATGTGTTTGTAGAGAAGCCTGGGTGCTTGCCAGTCCTTTCTTTGTCTTCATCTGGTAGATAACCTGTAGACTTCAGGAAGCTGCTCAGTAGACCCTCCTCACCGCCCAGGCTGGGGCCAGATCTGCCCATGACACCCCCAGCTGGGCCTTCTGTGACGGCACTCCACTGGCCAGGGCCTGGATCAGGGCTATGCATCCATTTCCTCTGCTTAGCTGGGCACTCCCAGAAGCAGAGCCTGGTTCAGGTCCACCTGGGTGCCCAGTACCTGGTACCCAGCCTAGTGCCAGACTTAGTCCTAACAGGCTTCACTCCAACCAGGGCTGGAGCTCAACCATCACAAACCCTCCCCAGCAAGGCTCACGGTCTCTCTCGGGGGACTGTGGAAGGCTAGGCCAGTGCTCCTGCACATACTCATCTCTGCAAAGCTCCCCCAGACACGCTAGCCATGTGTCAGCAACACTTCCTTCCTCTGCTCCAGTCTTGCTCATGCCCTTACCTCTTGCTCCTCCTGGGGCTCGTTCACATGGCCCTCATCTGGACCTCAAACTGTGGACTCAGAGAAGGTGAGCCCCATGGCCGGGGGCCCAAGCGTGAGTCCATGGCCTCAGTTAGGCTCCTCCACACTGGAGCTGATGCCTGACCCCCGGGCTTGGGGCATGCCCCCGTACCAGGATGGCTGTGGAGACCAGGGATAGGAAAACATGGCTCCAAATGCGTGCAATAGCCAAAAGCCTCAGCTTTTTTTAAAAATTGAGATGTTATTCACATACCATAAAATGTACCATTTTTAAAGTGTACAATTCAGTAGTTTTTAGTATATTCATAAGGTTGTGCAACTACCACCAATATCTAATTCCAGAACATATTCATCACATCAAAAAGAAACCCATACCCATTTAGCAGGTACTCCGTATTCCCCTCTTCCCCCAGCCACCAGCAACCACTAATCTACTTTCTGTCTCTGTGGATTTGTCTATTCTGGACATTTCATCTAAATGGCAAAAAGCTCAGCATCCTTCCAGGCCACAGACTCCAAGTGGAGCCCATGGAAGGGGACACAGAGCAACGTTGCCTCTTATCCTTTTTGGATATAAACAGACTGACAGTCTTGCACATCCAAGAGCCTAAGTTTACCCAAGGAATGGTGCTTCATTCATCCCAGAATCCCCCCTGAGTCTCATCTGGGACCAGCTCACTGCTCCTCATTCCACCCTGTCTCAGGTCTCAGAGCAGAGAAGAAAAAACAAAACAACGAAAACAAACCATGGTGTCTGGTCTAGGCCAGCAAATGCCTGCAAGCCTATGTCAGATGCCTGACAAGCACCAGTCATGGAATAAACTTAGACCTCATTTCCCCTTCCCCAAAGCTTAAAAGAAACCTTTTCAGAAAACAATCTCTCTCCGCTCCATGGCAGCATGGCAGAGAGGTGGTCATTTAGTCCATCACTCCTGGCAAGGTCTGCCTCTTTTGAGGTCTCCTGCATGGTAGCCACATGGGCATCCCACTCACACATGAGCACAAGAGGTCCCTGGTGTGGGTTTCTCCTGTCTAGGGAGGTCCAGCGATTGCCTTGAGCATCTCAGCATAATTATCAACCACTTGGATGCCCTCAGGGAGGGCTGGGCAAAGGGTGATGTTCTAAGGCCTGTGGGCAGAGGCTGGGCAGCATGTCATCTGTTGCCTAAAGATGGACTTAGGAAGGGACCAGCTCTGGAAAAAACCTGCAAATGCAATTTTTCCCTAGGGCCTTTGCAAGGGGCTCCCAACCTGCCACAAGAGGATCTTTCCTGCTTCCAGATGCATGAACCTTGAATCAGATGATAAATGTGCTCTCACACATGGGATCAATCCATTTTGCTTTGTAAAACCCAACCATATATTAAATGTCCACACAAATCTTCAGGTAATACAAGCAACTACCCTTACTTGCTATGTGTTTTTAACTATCAGGTATGCTTAAAAGAAGTTCCCCTATATTCATGTGTATCTTCCTCGCCCAGTCTCATTCCAGCTTAGTGTCCTTGTCCCCAGCCCCACAGAGCAGATGAGGCCAGGGCACAGAAAGTCAGTGCCAGAGCCTGTCCTCCTCCTCTTCCTGTGTTCCCAGAAGCCAGGCAATGGGGCTGCAGCTGGGTAGGAAGGGGTCAAGGGGATTTTTCCCTATACTAGAGGGTGTGACACATAGAAACGCACCTGCTGTTGCTTGAGAAAGACCCCGGAGTTGAAAAATAAATTGGGCCAGTCGAGTGGTGTTGTGCCCGCCCCACCCCATCCCGACTGTTGGAGTCCACCATCTGCCTACTCTTTAACTAGTCTGAGCCAAAGGATACCAAATGGTCCCATCAACCACACCCTTACAGCAAGATGTGGCCTTCCTCACTCTGGGCACTCGTCCACCACTTGCCCATGCCTTAAGAGGAGACCCCAACACTGCCTTTTCCCTGCACTGCCATGGCGTCCCAGGAGGCTGGAGCGGACCCGCCCTGCCAAGGAATGTTCTTGGGCCCAGGCCTTTTGTCTGTCCATAGTTACCATGGTGATCCCAGCCCCCTATCCAAGCAATTTGCCTGCTGGTGGTTTGGCAGTGGTGGGTTATGTCAATCTTGCCCCAAATCTAAGGGTTTACACTTTGTAGGGAATCCAGAAAGCATCCTTGTTAAGCATCTGCTCGTGCAGGGTAGAGGTTTCTGGTGAGAGTTGCTACATCAGGTGGCAGGGTCAGGGAGCAAGCCTTTCCCCCATAGGTTGGAAGGAAGTGGACCACCTCATTATTCCAAGCCACCTCAGAGCAGAAAGTCAGACCCATCAGCCAACATGCGCATTTTACAGATGAGGAAACGGGGGGTCCAAAGGGCAAGGCTTTCACTTCTAGAGTCAGCCATCCACCAGGTTTTCATCCTGGGCTTCTGGAGAGAAGCCTGTACCTGTCCTCTCACCTCCCAGCAGCTTCAGCATGAAACAGCTCTCAGAACAACCCTCCCCACTCCTGATCTGAAATTGCCTAGCAGTTACCCTCTCCTCCCTCTGGCTGACCCCCACCATTAGTTATGCCAGCCTCAGCCTGCGGGCCCCATCTGCTTACACTGGGCTTACATTTACCCCCACACCTCCCCATCGGAACCTTCCAAACCTTACAAGTACCCTCACCCCCAACTTCGGCCAAGTGAGGACAGTCTGAAACGCTAATATGCATTTTTTTTTAATCGCAGCTTATACTGAGCACTGAGAATACACTCTTCACACTTGAGGTCATCTGCACCAATTGGGCAAAAAAAGCATCGTTTGTAACAATCATGAAATTTTTTCAAAGCACTGGGTACTTAAAAAGATTTCATTCACGAGTTCATTAATCTGGCCCCTTACTGACACCAGTGATTTGTAGCACCTCTGCAAAACCTTCCTGATGCGTTTGAGACCAAGCCTGCTAGCTAAGAACCCACATTCCACACATGATGTTCAGGGTCCTTCTTTGGCAAAGGCACACTCCTGTCAATAAGAACACAGCTGAGCAGAACATGTCTCTCCTAACTCAATCAGGAGACCTGAACAGATCAACTTTTCTTCCAATTCCTCAGAGCACTAAGGCTTGGGGTTTCTGGGGAGAAAGCTAACTGCAAAGCTCTGAGCTCAGATCACACTAAGCACATCACCCTCAGAAAGGGGGGTGGTCTCGGCTCAAAAATTCTCTGAGAAGACCCCACCCCAGCATTACCCAGCACCAGGACAGGGCCTGCACCTGCTCCTGAGCAAGCCGGGAAGACAAAGGCAAACAGCTAGAGGGCAGGGGGGTGCTCCAGAGCAGCCCCTCCTTCCTTCAGGAAAGTTCTCCTTTGGTTCAGATCCCATTGGGTGTGTATGGGAAAAAAAGACCAGCACAGAATTCTCAGCTACCTATTTTGTTCTAGGCAAAAGTCACTTCTTGCCCATGCCTCACCCACCCGGTCAAAGAGGTAGCAGCAGAGGGCGGGCACTTGCTGCTGGGGCCACTTACCAGCGGGGGCTGCGGCTGGGGGTGCTGCCCTGCTCCCGAGGGGGGTGGGTAGTGCATGAGCAGATTGAAGGCGGAGTAGACGGTCTCTTTGTACATGCCGCTGGCGCACTCCGGGGCCTTCAGGCCTGGAAAAAACCACAGCTGGGTCAGACACACCAGCCCGGGCGGCAGCGCGGGCTGAAGGCTGTCTGCTCCTGAGAGAAAAACTAAGACTGCCAAGGGGTCCCCGTCGAGTTGGTGACTTGAGAAGGAACGGGCTGGGAGTGTCCCGCAGTGCCAAGTTTTGGGGGAAGGACGGCGAGTCCAGGCCTTCCCTAGGCGGCCCCGACTTGACCCCCCACCCCGCCCTCCAGCCAAGGAACCTCGACCAACGCTTTCTCCTCAAGACAGGGGATTAGTCAGTCACCTGGGCAGGAGGGGAGGCGGAGATGGCGGGGGGTCTGTTTACTCCTATAAAGGTCAGGGCACCGGAAGTGACTCGAACCTGGCGGCGCCCGGGAAACCCGCCCCCCACTCCCCACCCCCACCCCCTTGGGTTCTA